GTGTTGCATGATTGGAAAAGCTAGATGAAAGGAAAAGAAAAAGAAAAGGCAAGAATGGTATGAAAAAGGGATAAAAGTTGACTTTTGAGAGCAAAGTTTGACCAATATGTTTCTAAGCAATTGGATGAATCTGGATCTAGGATTTGACATACTTATAGATATCATTTTTAGATTTAAAACAAGTAGTAATTCATTAAATTTGGAATTTTGTATAGAAAGTTATGCCCTTCTAAAGTTGGACATAAATCCTAAAAAATTGAAAAATGACCAAATAAACAGTACCATTTTAAATGAAATCTGGGATTGATGTATGAGATTTGAATACTAATGAGTATTTTTTCTTTAAAGAGCATGTCAAGAGCTTTCTATAGAACTTGGAACCATCCCATTTCAATTTTTTTACAATTAGCTATGAATTTTCAAAATTAGCCTAAATTACAGTTAATAGTGTACGGAAATTCGAAAATGGGAATTGTAAAATTGAAATTTTCTCATACCTAAGACTTGAATAATGGTTCTTAATGGTTCCAATTGATGTATAATGTGATAATAAAGGAGGTGTGACATAGTTTAAATTATTTTTCCAGTCATTGGCAATCATTACTTATTTACAACTTTTACATGTCAAAGCATACTTTTAATAATTTTATTTGAGAGTTCTAACAAATTGAAGATTTTTAGGAGCAAGTTCAGCACCAAGCCTTAATTAACCTGAAGTTTGGTTTGTGGTGAGGTCTAATAATATCGAGTTGAAGCAAAATCAAACACGGGTTTCATATATTCCTTTAAGAAACAAATTCTTGAAAATAAATTTTGCGAAAGAAAATTATATTTTTCTAATAATAAATAAGAGAAAAACTTTTTTTTAATAATTAGAAAGAAACCTCAACTAGTGCCTAGATAACTGCCAACAACAATACAGCAATCTCTAGCCAATAAATCAACAAGTACAGGATGTGGTTCGGAAAATATCCGCATTCTGTGCTTATCATCTTGATGAGCAAGGAGTGCTCAGCACTCAAAATGTGGACATTTTGAGTGCTGAGCATGAGGGACCTTTATTTTTTTTTCAATTACAAAAAAAATATATGTAATTAAAATTATTTTTAGTTAAAGTTTATCTAATACTCTTAAATATTTTTTTACACATATTCAATATTTTAAAATATTTTATCATATCCTGAAATATTTTCTCATATGTATTTAGTGTTCTAAAATATTTTCTGACAATGCATTATAAAAAAATATATTTAAGAATATAGTATTTTAAAGTATTTTGTAGTCTATTTGGTACCTAAAATATTTTTTCATATGTGTTCATTATTTTAAAATACTTTGTGACTGGGCTTACCTAAAAACATATTTCAGGATCTAGTATCCTAAAATCTTTTATAATTTATCTAGTATCTTGAAATATTTTTCAATATTCTAAAATACTTTGTGATACAATATCAGGAAATAAAAAATTTTATTAAAACATTAAATGCACGTGAAAAAATATTTTAAGGTACTAAATGAATCATAAAATACTTTAAGATATTGAAAACATCTAAAAAAAATATTTTTGAATACTAGATAAATGTTAACCAAAAATAATTTTAATACATATTTTCTCTTATCCTTAATATAAGAGTTAGTTTAACTAATTCGAGTATGTTAAAAAAATTAGCAAAATTAGTCATTTGTAATAAATAAGTATTGTTTTCTCTAAAATACCTTTCACTAATTATGTGTATTAACTAAAATCACCAATTGATTAAATCTTTAATACGTACAATTATTATAAGGACTATATTGGAAAAAAATAAATATATATGAGAGATAAAATGGATTAGAATTTTATATTTAAGACTAAATTAAATATCAAGATAATTTTGACATTATTAATTTGAGATGGTATAAATTTTTTTGTAACAAAAAAAATAAAGTAAAAAAAATAAAAACGCTCAGAGCACTCCTGATGAGCACAGAATGCGAACACGTTCGGAAACCATGTGAAAGCCAGCATGCCTCCAAGTCCAAGTGCCGCCAAATGATCAGCGGTTGCATTACAAGTCCGAGGGGTGAAGGAGAGATGAACTTCCCAGCTACTGGACATTATAGCTTGATAGTACCCACCAGAAACCGAAACCGTTGGTGAAGTGGACTTATTCTAGGAAACGAACCAGAGAAAATCAAGGGGGTTTGAGTTGATTATATTTTGAATTATTTTGAAATGTCATTGATTTATATGCCAGTATTTTCTGTTGAGAAATAAGGGGGAATAACCACTCCCGTAGAATTAGGAATTATCATTCTGTTATCGGTACTTTCCAGATTTTCATTAGATTTCTTTCTACCTCTGTAAGCTGCTATAAATAGCTCTTGAGCACATGAATAAAGCATCGAAATATTACAGAGTGTTTTCTTAAATTGGAGATTCTCCCTTGGTCTATTAGTGAGTGCCGTGAGATTCTTGCTGCATTTCTCTATTAGAAGATATTTCTTTCCTTGTGTTTATCAATACGGGATTTAGGTGCTTATCAAATTGGTATTAGAGCCATGGTTGAAACTAGATCTTCCAGAACCACCAACCCATCTGAAAATCCTTTTGTTGATGGCGATCCTCTGACCACCATTGTTGCGCGATTGGAGACTCTGGAAGTATTGGCCAACAGGGTGGCCACTCTAGAGGCAGCATCTGAAAGAAATCGAAGGGGGGGCGTACAGATCTCATTGGGAAGTTGACAGCGAAGATGACCCTGAAGCTGCTTATAAACGTCGACTGCCATATACGAAGATTGAATTTCTGAAATTTAGCAGAGGGGACCCGAGGGGTTGGATATTGAAGGCAGAAAAATATTTTAGATACTATGACACACCAGAGGAGATGAAGGTCGAAGTTGCTTCTATGTACCTGGAGGGAGATGCGTTGGATTTATTCTCTTGGGTCAACAATGAACGCACGGTGATGTATTGGGACGAACTTGTGAAGGCGCTCCAAGAAACCTATGGACCACCGGAGTACCAAAACCCAGATGAGTTCCTCTGCAGCATTCGACAGATAGGAACGGTTTCGGAGTATCGCGCGGAGTTCACTCGTAGATCATCTCGGGTCAAAAACTGGCCAGAACACTGCCTACTCGGGGTCTTCATCAATGGCCTCCGAGAAGAATTGAAGGCGGACGTGCGTCTTCACAAGCCAAGGACGGTGTACAGGGCGACCAGTTTAGCTCTTGAATATGAGACTAAGTTGAAATTGAATAGTGGGCCCAAGCCCAATACATATCTGACCCAGAACCGTCCCTCTCATGCGAACACAACCAGTGCTTGTGACCCCAGAACACTTCCATCGTCCTCTGCGAACCCACCGAGGAGCAACACGCTGCCGAGCTTGCGGCAGCCAGAGCGCAGCAATTCCACGGACTTAGAACGCCAAGCTCGCCGTGAGAAAGGGTTGCGTTATCGCTGCGGAGAGCCATTCTGCCCTGGTCATCGCTGCAGATCCTCTTTTTCACTCCTGGAGATCACCGAAGAAGGAGAAGAGGTTATACCTCCATTAGAAGACACACCGGACACAGAGATGGGGGAGGGTAATGCAGAGATTTCTTTCAATGCAATTCTGGGAAAATCATCGACGTCGACTATGAGGCTTCAAGGCTCGCTACGGGGGCGCAACATTTTGATCTTAATTGATAGTGGGTCAACCTACAATTTCATATCAGAGGCTTTAGTTTCTGAACTGAGGCTCACGATTCAACAAGTCCCGGTGTTTGGGGTTCAGATTGGCAATGGAAGTTCCATCAAGTGTAATCGGGTATGTCCCAACTTGGAAGTAAAAGTCTCTGACTTGGTCATCAAACAGGATTTCTTTCCCTTTCCTCTGGGAGGTTCAGATTTGGTGCTTGGCATTAAGTGGTTAGCCTCTCTGAATACCGTGGAAGCCAACTGGAACAGGATGTTTATGATTTTTTGGGTCGACGGCAAAAAATATAAGCTTCAAGGGGTGACACCTGAAAATAATCCCACGGTTCATTTACACAGCTTAATACTGACCCCAGCATCAGAGGAGGAGAGGAAGTCACACGGGATTACGGCAACCATCCTTCATGAATTTACAGAGGTATTTAGTGAACCGCAGTCCTTGCCCCCAGCCCGTGGTCATTATCACTCCATTACACTATTGCCGAATGCTTCTTCGCCAAATATGCGGCCCTATCGTTACCCTCACTATCAAAAAGATGAGATTGAGTCTCAAATTGCTGAATTGCTGCTACGTGGTTTTATCCGACCCAGTTCTAGTCCCTTTGCTAGTCCAGTTCTACTAGTTAGTAAGAAAGACGGATCATGGAGACTCTGTGTTGATTATCGCCGGCATAATCATCTGACGGTTCCAGATAAGTATCCTATTCCTAATATTGATGAATTGCTGGATGAATTGCATGCGGTTGCCTATTTTTCAAAAATTGATTTACGGTCAGGGTATCACTAAATACTTGTGCTTCCATCTGATATTCCGAAAACTGCCTTCAGAACTCATTCAGGGCACTATGAATTTGTAGTAATGCCATTTGGCCTTACCAATGCACCTGCCACTTTCCAATCTGTCATGAATTATTTGTTTCGACCCTTTTTAAGGAAATTTGTACTTGTATTTTTTGATGATATACTGGTATATAGCTCCTCCCTTCCACAACACTTGGAGCATCTCCGTTGTGTTTTTCAGATTTTACAGCAGCATTCCTTTTATGCTAATGCCAAGAAGTGCTTCCTGGGTCAGACAAAAATTGATTACTTGGGCCACATTGTCTCTAATAATGGCGTGGAGGTGGTCCCTGAAAAAATAGCACCAGTAATTAATTGGCCACCGCCTCAGAATGTTAAAGATCTAAGGGGATTCCTGGGCCTCACTGGTTATTACAGGCACTTTGTTAAGGATTATGGGATGATTGCTAGACCTCTCATTGATTCCTGGGCCTTCTCTTAGTCAGGACGTGCACAGGAGGCCTTCGAAGCTCTAAAGCAAGCGCTGACTACTACCCCTGTTTTGAGACTTCCTAATTTCCAGCAGGCATTCACGGTAGCTTGTGACGCTTCCATGGATGGGGTAGGAGCTGTATTGATGCAAGAAGGTCACCCAATTGCTTACTTTAGCAAAGGATTCAGTTTTAACAACCGATACAAATCCACGTACGACCGAGAACTACTTGCCTTGGTTCTGGCTCTTCAAAAGTGGCGGCACTATTTACTAGGGCACCATTTCTTCGTGGAAACTGATCATAGCAGCTTGAAACACTTGTTGGACCAGCGCCTTGTAACTACATCTCAACAGAGGCTCTTGGTTAAACTACTTCCGTTCGATTTTACTATCACTTACAAATCAGGAAAAAACAACTCTGCTGCTAATTCACTATCCCGACGGCCCCAACAAGCTGATTTCTTCCAACTTGTCATTCCTATGGTGGAGGAGCTCTAGCAGCTACCTCAGGCGTTACAGGAAGATCCGGAGACAAAGGCTATAATTGATGATTTGTAGCATAATCCCAATCCTACATCTAACTACAGCCTCGTGAATGGCAGACTCTACTATAAATCCCGCCTGGTCATTCCACACCATTCCACCTTGCGAGCTAAGTTGATGGAGGAAGCCCATTCTACTCTGGTAGGGGGCCATGGAGGTTATCTGAAAACATTAAAACGATTATGTGCTCATTTGTATTGGCGAAGAATGAAGCAAGATGTGAAGCATTATATTCAGAGATGTGTGACCTGTCAACAGAACAAGTATCAAACTCTGGCACCTGCGGGCTTACTACAACCACTCCCTATTCCAGAACAGATTTGGGAGGATATATCCCTTGACTTTATCACCAACCTACCAAAGTCTAGGGGTTTTGATGTGATTCTGGTCGTTGTAGACCGCCTGAGCAAGTATTCTAACTTCATAGCCCTTTCGCACCCCTATACAGCCAAATCTGTGGCTCACTTATTTTGCAAAGAAATAGTACGGCTTCATGGTATGCCCCGATCGATCGTTTCAGACCGTGACTCCCTCTTTCTGAGCACGTTTTGGCAAGAACTATTCCGCCTAAGCCAAACCCGCTTAAATATGAGTACCGCCTACCACCCACAATCCGATGGTCAAACTGAAGTGGTGAATCGCTGTTTGGAGACCTATCTCCGTTGTTTCATTCATGAGCAGCCTAAAATGTGGAGTAATTATTTATGTTGGGCAGAATATTCTTTCAACACGAGCTTTCATGTAGCTGCCAACAACACACCATTTAAACTTGTGTATGGTAGGGATCCACCCTCCATCCTACCTTATGTAAAAGGGGAAACTGTTGTTGTGGAGCTCGAAGAACAGCTAGAAATGAGGGATGCCATGCTTAGGATCCTCAGAGACAACCTGTTGAAAGCTAAAAACCGTATGAAACAACAAGAGGACCAGCACCGGAGGGATCTCCAATTTGCTCCTGGGGATGCTGTTTGGTTGCGCCTTCAACCATATAGACAAAAAACTGTAGCAAAACGGCGGTTTGAAAAACTCTCTCCCAGATTCTTTGGCCCTTACAAGGTCATACGAAGGATCGGTCCAGTGGCCTATGAACTAGAGCTCCCTTCAAACTCTAAAATCCACCCAGTCTTTCATGTTTCCCTGTTACGACTAGCTGTGGGAATTGAGGCTCTAATTACACCAGCCCCACTTCCCTTGTCATCTGAACTAGAATTACTCCTCACACCGCTGAAAGTATTAGATCATCGCTGGACCCCTCCAAACACACTAGAGTTACTGCTACAATGGGCTAACCGCCCTATAGAAGAGGCCACTTGGGAGAATTATGACACAATTGCTACGCAATTTCCACAGTTTCAACTTGAGGACAAGTCGACCTTTGAAGGGGGGGTAATGATAGTACCCACCAGAAACCAAAACCGTTGGTGAAGTGGACTTATTCTAGGAAACGAACCAGAGAAAATCAAGGGGGTTTGAGTTGATTATATTTTGAATTATTTTGAAAATTCATTGATTTATATGCCAGTATTTTCTGTTGAGAAATAAGGGGGAATAACCACTCCCGTAGAATTAGGAATTATCATTCTGTTATCAGTACTTTCCAGATTTTCATTAGATTTCTTTCTACCTCTGTAAGCTGCTATAAATAGCTCTTGAGCACATGAATAAAGCATCGAAATATTACAGAGTGTTTTCTTAAATTGGAGATTCTCCCTTGGTCTATTAGTAAGTGCCGTGAGATTCTTGCTGCATTTCTCTATTAGAAGATATTTCTTTCCTTGTGTTTATCAGTGCGGGATTTAGGTGCTTATCATAGCTCTAATCTCTCGAAGTGTACCATAATCACCATCCCTCTCATCAGGTTCGGTAGAAAAGTTCAATAGCAGTAGAAGAATCAGACCCCAAGATCATTTGTCTATATCCTTCATCCCATGTAATCTTAAGTTCGTGAAGACAGCCCCACAGTTCAGGTAAGAGAGCGTCGCCATTGTCCATACGACAAACTCGGAGAAAATCTCCTTTATCATTTCTTAGTGGACCACCACAAGCATTGGGGTGGTTTGAATATGAGAAGCCACCATCCACATTCACCGTGATCCAATCATCTTCGGGAGGTTTCCGTAGTTCCTGCACTGCTCCACGTTGTAACCCCGGTATGCGAACTCACTTCAAACGAACTTGAAGCTCATACATGCTAACAACTATTGCCAGAGAGTTAGCAATAAATGCTTCATTGTGTACTTTTTGTCCTTCGAAAATAACAAGGTTTCTGCATCGCCAAATCCACCAGCAAATTACAGCAAAAAGAGATCCCCATTCCTCACCGTTATCTTTCTTTTGAGTAATGTTCCGTCGAAGCCAGTCAGAGAAGCTTAGAGAACAAAAGTGCCTCCACATAGAAGGATGCGCTAACTTCTTCCAGAGGGATCTTGTGCCACTGAAATCTCGCAAAACATGAGCAAGGTCTTCCACTTCTCTACTATAGACAGGACGCAAGTCAGTATCACTCAAACCTGCCTTCTTCTAGCCGCATTAGTGAGAAGACTTTTGCGAGATGCTAGCTGCATGAAGGATCTACATCGCTGTGGTATTCTCAGTTTCCAGAGTTTGTCCCATAGAGTATCATTAGCCAAGTCAATGCTATTCAGTCGCTCGTAGGCTAATTTAACTGTGAAATTGCCATTACCCTCCCACTTCCATCGTACACTAGAATTACCTATGGTTTAATCAATACCCTACTCCACCTTAGCCCAAGTGTAAGAAAATGGGCCCAAACCCAATTATCATTTGGGGTCCTGATGAGAATAGCAAAAATTATGGTATCTAACTGTAATTTTTGCCTTTTCATGTATTTTTGTCTAAAAGCGGGAACGGTTAGACGAGGAGGTAGTTTTCTTTTTCAAAAGGACATGTAGTTACTAAAACCGGTGCATGATCAGTTGGCGAGAGACTACGGTTTTTCTCCTCCTCTCCACACTACTCCTTCCGTACTCTATTCCTCATCTTTTCCCGCCCAGTACATTTGCTGTGTCTCCCAGATCTGACTCCTTCACCGTGATCGGACCTCCGTGTGGCAACCTGACTTTATTACAGACTCCAGGTATGCCCGAAATCCTTCATTGGTATCAGAGCGAGTGATATTTCCTGTTGATTCTGTGGCGTGAGTTTTCATATCAGTATTTTTTTCTAATTGTTCGGTCTGAGTAACTTGCGATTTGCTTCAATATATTATGTAAATCTTCCATTTTACTTTCAGTATGATAGTTTTTGTGTCTTATATTTATGTTTAGACATATTGGGTTGCTTCTCTGCCTCCGTGAAATTCATTTTATACAGTATATTCTTTTGGCTGTACGCTTGTTCATTTTTGGGTTTCTTAAAATCAAGTTTTTAGGCTTCAAAATTTATCCCATTGTGTAGAACTCGAAAAAACAAAGAAAATGATATAAAGTACACTAAAAACGGACACCGGACGGCCGAGATACGGAGGAGAGAAGAAATCGGGTCCGACGGACCGGTTGCAGAAGCCGGGTCAAGGCGACCCAGCTGGAGGTTGAAGGAGACCTCCAGGGGCCAAAACGGCGTCGTTTCGGCCCCTCCTATTAAAAAAAAAAACGCATGTACTGGGCTGGACGTAGGATCCAGCCTAGACAAAAAAAAAAAAAAGGGGGTGTACTAGGCTGGAGGCAGGATCCAGCCCAGACCAAAATCATAAAAAAAAAAAAGGGCGTATACTTTAAAAAAAAAAACGTTTTTTTGACCCAGCAGCACCACGTGGCGCATTCTACCACATGGCACCCTACCTTGGCACGTGGGGACCACCACCTGAAAGGTGATGGCGCGTAGAGGCCGCCGGAACGGTGCGTGTCACCTCCGGCAATCTGCAGGGTGGCGCATGTAGTACACACGCCAATAAGGCGAGTGGGGAATATATTTTTTTTCATTTTTCTCAAAATTTTCCTTATAGGGGCGCGTGTAGGTGCGTGCGAGGTCTGTTTGAGGTGCGGTTTGTCTCTAAAAATCCCTAAAATCAATATCTTCATTTTGATATATAATTTGATAATTTTGGAGACAATTAAGGATCTATTTGTGAGTATTTTCAGTATATTTTCTGGTATTTTCATGCGGAAATAAATTCTAGAATATTCAAAATAATTTAAATTATTTTGTTCTAGGTGAAAATGAAGCAAGAGGCTTCTAGTAGCACTGAAAATATCAAAGATGGTTCATTAGAATACTTTTACATGGATAATGCAGTTCCAAAACATGAACTAGAGGATGAGGATCCTGAAGAGGACCCTGAAGAGGTTCCTCAAGAAGTCCCGGAGGAGTTAATGGATTCTGGACCTGAGTCAGAATCTTTATTCCCCACTGAACCCCTCCGTATCGAACCTCATTTGGTCTGTAATGATTCACTAGATCTTCCCAATAAAACCGAAGTAGAGGATGGCGAAGAGGTGGATCAACCCTATACCCCTGCTTTAGCTATGAGAATAGCTAAAAGAGATGCAGCTAAATTAACAAACATAAAAGGCATCAATGGCGTGCTCGCTAGCTACGTCCATTACATGACCGATAAGAAGAATACCGAATTCTACCTTAGAGTCATAATGGAGTACATAAGAGCAATAAGGGTTAGAGGCGGACCTAAAGGCAAACCCATAAGAAAGTCTTACTGGATTTGGGCCATAGAGCTAGTGTCCTCCTTTATGAACAAAACGCGTAAACTTAGAAGCCTAAAAAAAGCAATGCTTGATTACCTTTATGTTCATATCAAATGATGTAATATTTGTATTCGCCTTAAGTTTGTGGTTTCATGCATTGTAAACAGACTAAGTATGCTATTTCATTTAATGAAATTACTTGAATTATTGTTGTATGATTATTTGTGAATATCATGTGTATGCCTTTTATAAGTGGGAGCTTTTAGAAGATAAGACTTCTAAAGGTTACATTTTTGAAGTGCTTATATAATATTCTTGATAGAATATAATGATAATTACTAGTATCTGTGTGATGGGAGGTACAAACGTATTCTCCTGATCATAGATCTTGTAATTTCATTATTTACTGATCGAGGATAATATAGGCACATTACATTGTATACTTCATTGTGCTATATAACTGAAATGTTCTTTGGTTCGGCTCTCTTTAAAGAGAACATAGATTAATGTGGGATAGATTTGTCACAGAACTAAGAATGGCAACCAAGAACATAATTGCTGAATTGAACAAAAGGGAAAAGCTTAACGGGGACAACTGGGACATCTGGCACCAAAAGGTCCAGTATATCCTAGAAGAACAGGATGCGATAGAGCCTTTCACCACTGCTATGGTTGAACCTGAAGCTGGCAACACGGTCCAGCATAGGAGAGACCAAGAGGCATATCTAACCTGGAAAAAGAAGAATAGCATAGCGAGAATCACACTTTTGAGCTCCATGACTGACGACCTGATGTGCAAATTTGAGTCACAAAAAACTGCACAAGCCATGTGGATAGCATTGAAGGATAAGTTTGGCGGAGTCTCTACAACCAAGCTTAGAAGGTTGACGATTAAGTTCGATACCTATAAGCTCAAGCCAAACAATCCTATGAAGCTGAAGGAAGCTGGACATAACCTGTCTGATGAGCAGCAAGTGTAGGCTGTCATCAGGTCACTCCTTGCAAGTTGGGAGCACATGAAAGTCAACCTAACCTACAATGAAAACATAATCACTTTTAATGATGTAGCTAAGCATCTGGAGCTGGAAGATGAACGTCTAGAGGCTTACAAGAGCTTTGGACAAACCTATTTGACTGAGGATGCTGGTACTTCCCAATCTAAGCCCAATTTCAAAAAGGGCAAGAAGCCCCAAAAGAAAGGGAAGAAGGGCGGTCCTCAATTTAAAAAGGGCAAGAAACAATTCAAGAAGAAGGGAAAGAAAGGTGGGAAGAAGAAGCTAGACCTGAAGAAGGTCAAATGCTTCGCCTACCAATAAATGGGCCATTTCGCACGTGACTGTTCCAAACAGGCTGAAAGCGAAAAGGTATTAGTGAATTATGTGAATTCACATGTTTCATATGTTTCTAGTACTGTTTTTCTAACAGAACCTGTTTCTTCTTCTTGGATTATAGACTCAGGCTCCACAGACCACGTAAGCAGGGATCGGGGATCCTTCGTGGGATACCGTCAGTTGCCATATCAAAGCAAGTGGCTTTACGTTGGGAACAATGCGAGAATCGAGGTTCGAGGCATTGGCACCTGTAAACTTGCTTTGCGTGGTGGAAAGACCTTGATACTCCATGATGTGCTTCATGCTCCCGACATCTGACGAAATTTAATTTCTGTTATTTGCTTATTAGACTTTGGGTTTAATGTTAATTTTCATAGCAAAGTTGCAGACATTTTCTTCAACTCAGAACTTTATGGTTTAGCATTCAGATTCCAGAAATTTTTTATTGTGGATCTTGTTTTGGTTTTAACGCTCACGATTGTTTTGCTATTTCTTCAAGCAATCCTGATATGAATATCTGGCATGCTAGACTAGGACATATTAATCAAAATAGAATGATTAAATTGGCAAAAGAAGGAATGTTGGGCGCAATCCCTAACATAGAAATGTCCTTATGTGAAAATTGTCTAGCTGGTAAGGCAACTAGAAAACCTTTCGGTAAGGGAACAAGAGCTGAAAATCCATTGCAATTAATCCATTCTGATATCTGTGGTCTGATGAGTGTGAGGGCGAGACACGGAGCTTGGTATTTTATTACCTTTATTGACGATTTTTCACGATATGGTCATGTCTATGTGATCTCGCATAAGTCTGAAGCTCTTAAGTGCTTTAGACGATACATAAATGAGGTAGAGAATCAAATGGACAGTAAAATTAAAGCATTATGTATAGATCGAGGTCATGAATATTTATCTGATCAATTTAAACAGCTCTGTGAGGAAAAAGGGATAATTAGACAACTGACTATCCCTGGCACTCCACAACAGAATGGAGTGGCTGAGAGGAGCAATAGAACTCTTCTAGACATGGTTAGGTCTATGATGGCTCAAGCAAACCTACCAATTTCATATTGGGGTGATGCTTTATTAACGGCAACCTTCATACTTAACCGTGTGCCCTCAAAATCAGTCGCTTCCACACCCTATGAATTATGGACAAAATGCAAACTGGATCTAAGTGTCCTAATGTAACGTCTTGAGTTTTATCGGGTTTTAATAGCCTCTTTTGGTTGATTTTGAGGATAGATTAGCAATTTAATCTTGATCTTGGTGTTTGGGTTGGATTTGAGGTATGTTGGAGGAATAGGTGAATGTACCCCTCTCTTCGCCGCAGTGAAACATGAGTTCTAGGGGGGGTTGTCTTTCAGGCAGGTTTGGCCGCGGCGAAGTTGTTCAGGTGAGTAGGGTTTCCCTCTCGGGGAGGTTTCGTTGCGGCGAAGGTAGGGGTATGCCGCGGCGAATGTTTTCTGGGCGAGCGAGAGTTCCCTCTCGAGAAGCTTTCACCGCGGCGATGGTTGGAGTTCGCCGCGGCGAAGTAGGGTTTTCAGGCGAGTAATCCCTCTCGGGATTAGTTTGCCGCGGCGAAGTAGGGTTTTCATGCGAGTAATCCCTCTCGGGATTAGTTCGCCGCGGCGAAAGGTGTCGAATCTATATAGACGCTGGAGGGTTCAGTTGAACGAAAATTAGAAAATCTGAAGGAGGAGAGAGGAGCTCTGCTAGGGTTTTGGTGTTGAGGCTTGGGAAAGACATTTCTAAGGATCCATTACCTCAAGTGATTTTAACCTCTAATCTATCTTCTTTCTTGGAATTTATAAGGATTTGTGGTGAAACCCTAGGATTTTCTAAGTTGTGATGGAACTGAGGTTTTTGACTGATTGTTTTGAGTTTAATTGATTGCTTTGGGTTAGTTTAAGTATTTAATCGGTGTAGTTTTCTTGGATTTAAAGAATCTTGAGTTTTTGAAGCTAGGGTTTATGGAAATGGGAGATTTGGGATTGAGGATGATAATGTAGAGGTTGATTCTGAGTTTTGTGAATTGGGTTATGTTAAGGAGGGTTAAATTGGATGTTTGATCGGTTTAGATTGTTGTTAAGACTTCAATTGTTCAAATGGGATGTTGGAGGTTGAATTCCTATAGTGGGTCCTTGAGGTTTGAACTCTAATTGATGCTTGAAAAGGGGACTTGATGTTTTAATAGACTTTTATGACTTTGGAGTGTTGTTTTGATGGGTATACCCTTTGAGTTGGGTAGAGTTTTGATTGAAGCTAGGAATTTTGTGTCCCCAAATGTTGTTTTGGCCACATTATTAGTTTGAAAGCTAATACATGATGGTTGTGTGTTTGTGTGCTTGTGTAGACCGATTGTGAGTCTTGTTGGTGCACGGGACCACATTGTTGGTTTGTTATTCCTTGCTCAGGCGAGAGGTAACCACTTTCCAATCCTTAGTACTTGCTTCTATGGTATTGTGAGTAGATTTATGTTTTGTGCTCCAAGTAGTAATTATGTTCAAAGTGTATGTTGTGTATAAAAAGGAAAACCGTCTTGTGGGGTTTCGATTGATGATGAATGAATCTTGAAATTGTGAAGGATATGCCACTGAATGAAGTTACTTATGAAATGTTCAATTACTATTTGATTATGGTTTGAGCATGATGCATGAATTGGGAATTGGTGAGAGTTTTTGATAGTTACTACCACGTGGTAAGGCCTCCATTAATGCATGATGGTTGGCTCAGTACGTCTCCCATAGTGAGGGATAGGCCTTTTGGCTCCTTACGTCCTCCAGAGTGAGGGATAGGCCTTTTATGGCTCCTTACGTCGCCCATAGTGAGGGATAGGCCGGGTTCAGCTCTTGAAAATCCCCCGAAGTGAGGGATATAGTTGATGGGAATTGCATCATTACACTTGCATGAATTGTTGTGGCTATCATTTATTATATTACTTGGGAAATGCCCCACTTGACACCTCACGAGCACCTATTTAGTAGTACCTTGAATTGGAATGGTTGGTTACTGGGACTTTGTCTCACCCCGTGGTTTACAATATTTTCAGGTGAAGGTTCCGGGCGTGGGCCATTGGGAAGAGACGCAGAGGCTTGAGCTTGGTTAGCTTTAGGCCTCTAGCACTTGTATATGTATGGCTAGTATATATTGCCACATTTAGGACTGCTTTTGAAATATTTTGATTACCCGACCATATTGTAAATTGGAGAATATGTTATCTCCTCGTTTTAGTTGGCCGGAGGCCATTTCTATTATTTTATGAAACTTTGTTACATGGTTGAAAATTAATTGGATGGACTGATTTTGATGTATGTTGTTACCCGGGCCGGAGGCTCGGAGGCCCAGTGGATATGAATGAATGATTTTAGTTGCATGCAACAGAGTTTGGATTTGACCCGAGTTTGAAAGTCAATTTCTAAAATTACGCAAATTTCTTTCTACTATGGTAGTTCATTTTAACAACTTTCTTTTTCTACCATAGTAGTGACTTGATAATGAGTTTATAATGTTTTTGAGGAAGGGTGTTTTACACCTAAGACCCTGGATGTCAGCGGCATATGTTCATGATGATTCCCACAAGCATGGGAAATTAGGTCCTAGAGGAAAGAAGTGTATCTTTATAAGGTACTCTGAACAATCTAAAGGATACGTTTTCATAAGTGAAAACGAAGATGGAACAGTGACTGAAATGGAATCAAGAGATGCCACATTCATTGAGACTGAATTTCCTAATAGAAGAGATATTGACCATACTGTATCTCTTTATGAGACACAGGAACAAGTCAGTGCAGAACAAATTGACAGACCAGAATCGTCTAGGTGTGTCAATCTGAGTGGGAGCCAAGAAAGGTCAACACCAAGACCTGAACAAAGAAAGAAAGATAAGTAAATAGCTTCTGTCAGAAGGAGTAACAGGGAAAGTGTTCCCAAAAGACGCTTTCAAATAGAAGGCGAATCTCTCTTAGTTACTCCAGAAGGGGATGATGAGCCCCGTTCTGTATGAGAGGCCTTGTCAAGTCCTGCGAAAGATGAATGGATGAAAGCTATGGAAGAAGAAATGGACTCGGTGAAAAAGAACCAAGTTTGGGTATTAGTTGATTTTCCAAAAGGGCATAAAGCCATTGGGAACAAGTGGGTTCTCAAAATAAAAAGAAAAATGGATGGATCAATTGACAAATACAAGGCTCGATTAGTGGCAAAGGGGTACACACAACAGGAAGGAATAGATTATGAAGATACATTCTCACCTGTTGTGCGTTTCAATTCTATTAGACTTATTCTGGCAATAGTAAACAGTTTAGATTTAGAATTACATCAGATGGATGTAAAAACCGCATTTCTGAATGGTGATCTAGATGAAGAAATCTATATGGAACAACCATTAGGTTTCATTGAAAAAGGAAAAGAAAATAAAGTTTGTAAACTTAAAAGGTCCATTTATGGATTGAAACAGTCATCCAGACAGTGGTATTTGAGGTTTCACAAAGCATAACCTCATATGACTTCCAAATGATAGAGGAAGACCATTGTGTCTACATTAAACGGTTTGAGGGTAATTTTGTCATATTATCCTTATATGTAGACGATATACTATTAGCCAGAAATAGTCTAGATTCGGTGGTGGCTATTAAAGAATGGCTTTCGTCGAATTTTGAAATGAAAGATATGAGTAAAGCAGAATATATACTTGTAGTTAAGATCCAAAAAAATTGCTCAAAACGAATCCTTTCTCTTTCACAAGAGAGTTACATCAACAAGATTCTTGAGCGATTTAACATGAAAGACTACAATCCCATGAGTACCCCTGTTGCTACTGGAGTGGCTTTGAGTTCTGACATGTGTCCCAAAACCGAGTCTAACAAAAAGAAGATGGAAAGAGTTCCATATGCCAGTGCTGTTGGTAGTTTGATGTGCGCAATGATGTGTACAAGACCAGACATCTGTTATGCAGTGGGACTGGTGAGCAGATTCCAGTCTAACCTCGGTGAAAAGCATTAGAAAGCAGTGAAGAGGATCTTGAGATACTTAAAGGGCACTTCCAATTATGCGCTGTGCTATGAAGGAAGTGACCTGCGTCTTGTTGGGTACTCTGACGCTGATGTAGGCGGAGATGAAGAAGAACGAAGGTCAACTTCAGGTTATACCTTCTTACTCAACAATGGCGCCATATGTTAGAGTAGCAAGAAGCAAACGTGCATTGCCTTACATTCAATGGAAGTTGAGTTTGTGGCATGCACCGCAGCAGTGCAAGAGGCTTTATGGCTGAAGAGATTTATAGAACACCTTGGGTTTGGAAACAAGAGTACTAATCCGGTGATGACATACTATGACAATACTGCAGCCATAGCTTATACTAAAGATCCTAAGTATCACAACAAAACCAAACACATTGATATCAAGTATAATTTTGTTAGAGATTATATAGCACAAAAGGTTGTTACTGTACAGTACATTTCAACCAAATGTATGGTAGCAGATCCTCTGACAAAGCCAATAGGCGAAAAAGTTTTTAAAGAACATGTACAAGCCCTTGGCATACATAAAGTGTAATATGAATGCTTCATTAATGAAATTATATTTCGTTATCACTTTATGTGTCTGTCCGAAAGTATACAATTTCTAGTATGTCGTACAGGTTAAAAAGGTTGACTCTCTCACACGGGCAACCGCCTTTGACACTCAGGTGGAGTGAACAAAGATGAGACATTTGTGTTCACCAGTAAAGCAGCAATGAATGCTGATATGGTAGAGAAGAAACACAAACTTTATGTCACCTTGACTAAAGTGTAGCAAGTCAAGATGAGATCCACGTTGATAAAGCTAGATCAAAGTTTAGAATCCCACTTCCATAATACCTGTAGCCAGACAACAAACTCTTCAACGTCAACGTCATAACAATGAGCAGAGTTGAAGAATTTGGGTTTAGATACTGAGTGTGTCTAGACCTAAGTCTGTACGGTGTTAATAATAAATCCAAATCGACATACGCTCTTATAGTAAAAGAGTAACACTGTAGCATGTGTTTCATACCACATGTGCTAGGAGAACCGCAAAAGGGAAGCAAGTGAAAGATCCCTGCTTCATTGCTATGTGAGTCCCAGGGAGGAATTATCCTCCTGTTGGTGTCCTTTGACTTTGATGATATCATGAAGATATGTTTCAGTGACTGCTACTTTGACATATGTCCTATGGTCATGATTGATGCGATCTAAGGTAGTATGCTAAGAAAGCGACTGATTCATTTCAAAGTGATATTTGGGCGAAAGGAAGATTGACTGTGATATACACACCTATGCTAGTGTCTGTGACATGTCCCTTATGACATTTTGTGGTCGTAAGTGTGGATACTAGACATAAGAGAATGGTAATCTGAGTCAACCAATGACTCGAGAGGGATTAGATTTACCATGAAAAAGTGTATATAAGTAAATCTAGGACATCTTAGGCATAATTTTAAAATTCAAGCTACACAAAGGAGAGGGTGACTTGTGCTGATCCTTTAAAAGGGATTTCTTGTACAGGGACCCAAGCGAAGACGTCATGCCCACACGGTCACAGCAAAGCACTAAGTATGAAATTGAGGGAAGGTGAAGAGACTAGACCTGCGACATCTAATCCATCAAGTGTGAGTGGGAGATGTAAGAAAATGGGCCAGTCCACCCTTGGTGGATTGGACCCAAGCCCAATTATCAGTTAGGGTCCTAATGAGAATAGCAAAAATTATGGGTATCTAACTATAATTTTTGCCTTTTCATGTATTTTTGCCTAAAAGTGGGAACGGTTAGATGAGGAGGTAGTTTTCTTTTTTCAAAAGGACATGTAGTTACTAAAACCGGTGCATGATCAGTTGGTGAGAGACTACGGTTTTTCTCATCCTCTCCACACTACTCCTTCCGTACTCTATTCCTCATCTTTTCCCGCTCGGTGCATTTGCTATGTCTCCCAGATCCGACTCCGTCACCGTGATCGGACCTCCGTGTGGCAACCTGACTTACAGACTCCAGGTATGCCCGAAATCCTTCACCAAGTTTTCTTAATACCAGACCAGACACTTGACCCATCTCTCTTATAATCAATTTTTGGCATGAGGTCATTTCCATAGCGATATTTGTCATGAATGACTTTAACCCATAAGTCGTCACGACACCTAAAAAGTTTCCACCCCTCACCCCAAGTTCATGAGAAGGGCGTGATTTTGCAGCTCAGTATGTCTTAAACCAAGGCCTCCATTTGCTTTTTTCTTGCGAACAGAATCCCAAGGGACCAAAGAAGTCTTCCTTTTCTCTTCCATACTACCCCGTAAAAAAACCCCTATTGAGCTTGTCAAACTTTTCACAAATGGGAGGTGGCAAAAGAGCCGTTTGCATAGCATAGTTAGGGATAGCAGAAGTACATAAGAGATCAACGTAGTTCTACCTAATAGAGAGCGAATTAATTCTCCATTTAGATATCCTTGTTTTGACTTTTTCCACAGTTTCCTGAAAAGTCTCTTTGCTGACTCTCTTATGATGTAAGGGAACACCTAAGTATTTTCTCAAGTCAGCTATTTGAGTGAAACCCAAAGTCCTACTAATCTCTGAGCATCTATTGTGATTCATATTAGAAGAGAAAAATACACGAGTTTTAGAGATATTAACCTTAAAGCTCGAACTCAAGTTGAAAGCTTCAAGACAGTAATTGATCAAATCTACTTATTGTAGAGAAGCTTCAAAAAATAATAGAATATCATCTGCTAAGAACAAGTTGGAGAGTGGAGGACTTTTCTTGGCGAGTCTTGGTGAGTCTAATTGGTTTCCACTCATCACCTTGAACTTTTTCTTGAATCATGTGAGCCAGCTTTTCCATGCAAATTACAAACAAATATAGAGACATCGGATCTCCTTGTCGTACTCTTCTAGAAGATTTAGAGGACTTTACCTTACTACCATTCCAAAGAAGCTGTAATTCTGCCATGGTAATACACGCATCAATAGTCTCCACAAAATGTCTAGGTAGATGCAATTCATTCAAGCAACTAGTCATAAAATTCAAGTTGACTCGGTCATATGCCTTCTTAAGATCTTGATTGCCATATAGTCCTTCTTCCCTTACATGAGACGCATAGAATGAACGACTTCTTGAGCAATGATAAGGAATTGGCAAATAGAAAAATCTCAAGTCTTTCAAATTCATTGCTGGGTCTTTCTCAGGAATAAGAAAAATCAACGTCCCATTTACCTCACGAATGGATCAGGAATTGGCAAAAAGACTTTTAACATACCGAACAAACATGACCCGGAGATTTCATAGGCGCCATGATAAATAAAGCACTTTTAATCTCATCTTCATCGACGTCACAAGCACAAGACCTCAAATGAATATCACTAATGGCTAGATAAGAAACCCTGCATGTCAATGTAGTCTGAATCATAGTGTCTTCATTAAAGAGAGAAGCAAAGTATGAAGTACCTTTCTGTTTTATTTCTCCAATATCATAGCACCAGCTACCATCTTTCGGACAAATGGCATCTATTTGATTAGCCTTCCAATGCCCATTAGTATGCACATCGAAGAACTTGGTATTCCTATCACCATAGACATTCCAATTTAATATCGCCTTCTAGACCCAGAGAAGAGATTCTTGTGCAAGAATTCCTTTAAGTTCTTTCCATATCTCAGCTTGAATACCCTTATAGTAGCTAGTTTGAAACCACGCTCAATTACCCTATTCACCCCATCCATTCATCTCGTAGGTGTTTTTTTTTTTTCAACCCTGAATATAGCAAAAAATGTTTCTATTCCAAATCCGACAAGCATTAGTAAATTGCACGAGATGGGGTTGCCAATCTATATCATTATTCCATCATTCTTTGACAAAATCATCAAAGTTATCATTCTTTGACAAAATCATCAAAGCTATCATGTAGGATTTGTTGGCAACACCTGCAAAAATAATAAAAATATGGTTTGAGTCATGTCCAAAAACACCGTCCTTAAGAGTTATTCCACCACACAGATTAGAATAAAAGACAGCACTCCCCAGGATTAAACGAACTCTTCTTACGAGAAGCAAGGTGACAGAACATCAAAAATTTAAAACTTAGGAGAAAAGAGAGAGGAGGAGAGCTCGAGGAGAGAACTTGACCCATCTGACCATACACCATACATTGCCTTCTTTAGGCAGATAATATGTCACTGTTGGGCTGCCATAATGGTGATTAAGTATGGTTTTAATGACAATTAAAAGAGCGGTTTTTAAAATCATTAATTAAGATGAATTAAAATATTTTAATGCCATTAAATATGGTTTATGAAAGAATAAAACTGATTAATTATGATATATAAATGCTTCAACGGTCATCTCTAACGGTAAGTTCTAATGACTCCTCTTCTCATCCATTTTATTAGCTCAAGCTCACATCTTAGTAAGCACTAAGGTTTTCTCAATCTTGAGTAATACAAGACTTCTTTTGACACACTCACACACTAACACTCCAACAATCCCCCACATGTGTCAAAAGGAACATTATCATCTGAATTACACACACGGGTATAACTATTTCGAATCTGGTGTCTTTTAGACTATGAACTAGACCTAGACCAATAACACTTAGTACATAGAGATGTTAATGAAGCCTGCTTCTACAAACCAACAACTCTTGATGTGTACTAGAGGCATTAAGAGTCAAAGTAGACCCCCACAAATTCCGCTATTAACGGTGGTTTTGTGTGTTATAACGGCCATGCGCGTGTCTGGTTCTTAACGAATGCTCTAGAGATTTCACCACAGTCTCATGGAAGTGGCCCCACTACACATTTATGGAGGTGATTTCATTAAGCGTACCTTCAATGAGCACACCATCCCATAGGATTATGAAATCATTAAGAGCTTTTGATCATCCTTGCCATGAAATGCATTCTAGTACTTTCTCACATCATAGGAAGCGACTATGAATTTATAATAGTGCTAGCAGAACTAACAGACGACTTGTTTTTCCCATTTGAACCTTCTTTATGGGGTCTCCAATCACAAAGGTTGGGTTTTCATCGTTGTTAATTTCATGTTGGCTTAAGTCCCATTCCCCTCGATGTTTTTATAATCTGTTTCTTTCTTACAAGTTTCATTAACAGATCTGTTAGGTCTACTTTTGACCTTACAAATCGATTGAGATGACTCCACAATTTTTAAGTTAGCTTATTCATATAGTATCTCAACGATATGTACTTGTACTATTGTTTTCTCTACAATGGTTATTGCCATTTGGCAATTACAACTCATCGACACTATGCAACACCTAACTTTCTATATACTAATAGGATCATTTTAATGTTTGTGAATCACAAATGCTAGGTTTTTGACCTGGGAAAAGACAAGGAAAATTTTTTTTTTCAACATTGGAATCCGTCAATCAAACATTTCAAACCTTTAGAATAACTGACGAGTGATCCACATTTAACCTTGCTTTCAACTTAATCTATTATCACCTAAAATGATTTCATACTGTGCAATCTTATAATATTATATTAAAAATATAGCAACCATTTTGGTTGACAGTGCATACCTGCACCAGGCAGTGCTCTCCTCCTTATAAAGTATACAAAATAATATTTATATAAAGCAAGTAAGGTTACTTGCCCATATAACATATACAATAGTACAAATATTAACTTATCAAAATATTCTAATACATATGTACAGAATATAACAAGCATCTTTACTCTTCAACCAACTCACCTTCTTCTTAAACAACCTCCTTATCCTTCGAGCTACTAGCCTTCGCTGTTCATCATAAATGGGAGGGTGAGATTCTAAAGAATCCCATAGTAGTAATTTCCATCAAATACAAATGCAGATTACATAAAGCATGCAAAACAAGCCATACGGAACATAACCTTGCAAACTATGCATAAAAAGCATTTAAGTGCAATGACAAATAGTCATATTGATTAGCTAAATGTGCAATCAACGGCATGTAAGGCCGAACATACAATGGCTCGTAAGGCCGCGCAAATAATGGCTCATAAGGTCAAGCTTGTAATGGCACAGAAGGCTGCACAAATAATGGCTCATAAGGCCCCATATCTTTCAGCTGCACGTGATCACGGCTAATAACTCATGCAAGGAATTAAGGATTACATGTTCTAATCTTTGGAATAGCAATATGGCACAAATAGTTGGTCATCTTGGACAATTTTATTATTCAATATATTCACTGTGGAGGGTTTCTCTCTTTATCTCAACCCAAACAGTTACTTTACTTAGTAACTGGTCACCACCCATTATAATAATTTACATACAAGTTTGCTTACTTGAGTCTCAATCAAGTAAGTTTAATTTTTAATTAATTCTTGACAAAGACACACGCTACAACAAATATATTCATCTAATCAATATTGAAACCCAACTAGAAAAGCTAGGCAATTCAACCTCTATACATCCTTCAATCTCCTTAATTTTAAATTTACAATCCTCAAATAACCATTCTCATAAATTCTATTAATTGCAACTTTTATCCCATATTAACCATTGGTTGTGTCATTAAAAGTTTTCCTAATGTGTGCCTTGGAAATAATTTATAAATATCATGATTATTAATCTACCTGTTAAAAATTCCCAACCACCAATTGGAAACCTCAATCAAACCTCAAACAATCAAATTCATATCAAATATTTCTTTTTCAACTTTGGCCAACGCACATATATACCCGTCCTTATTCACCTCAAGTTCTTTTACGTAATGCTCTATTAAATTCACTTAAGATTCATCAATCAAACCTCAAGGTAAATCTTCTATGTACACCCTTCAATTCATAATTTCTTTTTCCCCATTCGATGTAACGTCAAATC